GGTTTCTAGCATCCACTAATACCCAATCTTATCTCAACATAAAATTTTTCTTTCTCACCCTACATTACCCTTACACACCTCATTCCACCTACCCACACTCAAAATCTAGCCATGCCACCAAGGAGATAACCATCAAAAATTTGATTTAGGGGAAATGACACAATGTCGTTTATGTGAAATTCACGAAGAGGCGTCTAAGAGATTTCTAAGGATATGCAGTGGGAAACTCACCAACTACAACAAAGGCTTGCGAACATCGAGAGGAGCCAATCCAGACGGGGCACCCATAACCAAAACAATGACTTGCTAGATCAAAAAAATGAAGTGAATCTCATCCACCATCCAGATTATAGGGATGAAAAACCTCTACCTCGAAGACGTGACTTATAATACCTGAGAAGCTGAAATTTTGAAGAATGTTGATTTGCCATATTTCGACAACCACATAGATCTAGATGAGTTCATCAAGTGACTCTGGACCTTGAAATGTGTCTTTGAGTGTTTAGAGGTCTCACTGGACATAACGTTGAAACTAGCTTGAGAAAATTTGAAGCATCTACATCAGCGTGAGGGAGAAGACAATCACTACTTGGTCCAAGATGAAACATAAGATACATCACGTGTTCCTACCAGCTTACTATAAATCAGATGTTTAGACCCCTTTTTTAAAAGTGGAGAGACCACGTCATCGGGCGACCATCACATCTTACAGATAGAGTTCAACCCCAGTATCTTATAGTTACAAAACACCCAAGAGAACATTCAAGTTGACCCCACTTAAGGAGCCACTAATTCTGAGTGGAAAACATGTGCAACCAACCATCATTCTCAAATTTGTCCCTGCTAAGAAGTGTTTCAAGTGTCATGGATTTGAGCATATTGAGTTAAATTGCACAACCAGTGGAACAATCTGTTTTATTGAGTAGGACATTGTTGAAAAAATAAGTAATGACATAGTAGACATTGAAGAAGGCGATGACACAATTGAGTACTATCTTCCAACTGATGAGTAAAAGATGCACAAGTTCTAGTTGAGCTCATGAGAGAGACTCCAACCAAATTAATAGCGATGGTTCATTACAGTCTTGAGTTTGAGGAACCAATTCTAGAGACATGACAATCCTAGATAAGAGTAATTTTGATTTATCAGATTTATAGACTTCTTTTTGCGTTTCCCCTATTGAGAAAGGTCCAATATGTAAAAAACGAGGCTCTTTTGTTCCACATCTAGAAGATTATATAGAGTTATTTGGATATTAGATTCAGTTTAGAAGTGTACCCACCATGAGATGTTCAAACAGGAGGGATGAACCACAACTTTAAGAATTATCTTAGGAGCTTAATGGGTAAGAAAAATTTTCAATGCGATCTAGGTCCTATTAGAGAATGAGATGTCTTTACTAAATTGTTGCTAGACAGAGTTGTTTAGCTTGCCAAATATGTTGTTCCAGAGTTGGCCCCCTTCTGATAGTCTTTTTTATCGGACACATTCAGCCGAGTACGAGGAGAGGAAGAATTATATTATATATTTACTTAATTGGGTTTTGTCTTGTGAGAACCTGTCTTTATGTAGCTCCCGCTCAGGTTGTGTCAAGAGACAATGAATAGTTATTCTATTAGGATGTGCTTTAGAATGTCCACACCTACATGATTGACTTTCCAGAAGATTATGCCAGTTTTGATATCTTCATTGGGGATGACTTAACCACTATGAGGAGACAAAAGCTTCAACATATGAGGTCGAAGCTCCTCCAACTCCGAGTGATTGATGCAGAAGCCTCCATCGTTGATTCCACACCCCTATGGGAACATTGCTATAGTACATCCCCCGTTCGCGAGCTGCGACAGTCTCGCGACCATGCTGGCCGCCGTTTTCAATTTTGTACCGAATCAGTCCAAGTTTTTTTGCCTTTCGGGTCGGCCGACCCTACTGGTCTATCTCTTGCTATCTAATTTTTTATATATTTATATTCCTGATGTTTTAGGGTTAGTTTTTCGTGTGTTTTGTTTAGGACAGCCTTCGACGTTCATTTTCTCCCTTGGAGGGCTGTATTCGAGCAATTGGGTGGTGTTCCGACTGTATCTTTCTCCCGAGGTGGTGATTATCCCCTATCCTCTTCCGCCAACAATACTCCCTACAACACCGTCCTTGCTGCAGCCACCCGGAACAACAGTCTTGCTATTTCTTCCTGCAGTTTTTTATCTTCCAGCCACCACCAACTGCTTTTCTGCTTGTTGTCGTTATCCAGGACAACAAAGGGTTGATGTACCTGCCCTTCCCCGCCTTCCCCGCCACCATGCCTCCATTTCCAACGCACCGCTGCCTCCAAAACCTGCGCCCCACCCCTTCCCACATGTTGCTACCTTCTAGAATTCACCTCCATCGCTGCTGCAACCATTCCGATCTTCATCACCACTCTCCGTTGCTACCTACCTGTTGTCCAACCCTACCCCTTACCATCTCCAGTCTCCCCCAGCTTTTCTAACCGCCCTTACCACCCTCTGCCACCACCTAGCTGCTGTCCCAACTGTTTCCCATGCTGTCCTCTCTGTTCCAGCCCCTCAAATCCATCCCCCCGTGCCACCTCGTTGCTGTTCCAACCCTTGACTGGCCTTACCACAACACTTCCACCTTCTAGAAACCTTACCCGCTGAATCTGCCACGTCCCAGTACCCAACTTACCCATTCCAGCCCACCTCGCTGACCTCCAACCATGGGATATATTTTAGTTGTGTTTTTTTGTTTCTGTTGTTTCATTTCCCCTTCAATATGTGAATTGTAACCACCTATTTGTCTTTCAATAATAATACGTGTTTTTCTATTGTGATTTGGGTTAACCTCGACATCACAAGATTAGAGAAAGTTTCCTTAGATGGTTTGGTCACTTAAAACGTCGATCATCTGATGACCTAAAAAGACTTCATCACTTTGTATAAAAGGTGTTCTTAATTTGTTAGAATTAAATGAAAATATGACAATTAATAGGACACAATGGAGAAAAAGGATTCATGTTGCCAACCCCACTTAGTGGCTTCGTGTTATTATTGTTTAAGTTATTATCTTAAATGCTAAAATTTGATTCAAAAGGGCCCATTGACTAACATTTTTGGTCCAAAATATTTTAACAGAGATTATTTTCATCGAGTATTTAAGGGGACCAAGTTGAACACATTACAAGTCTGGAACTAAAATGCCTCATACAAATAGTTTAAGGACCATTTTGATCTTTTTTTTGATAATGAAATATTCAAGTAATCCAAGAATTTAAGCTATAAATTAGAAACATATAAAATCAATGAGCAATTTAATTTAATCTTCACAAATTATAGTTTTGATGTAGCAGTTTTTAATCAAAATTAAGTGCACTAAAAAGTCAATTAAATGAATCACATATTCAACTTGCACTCTGAAGATTGAAATTGAAGGATGATTTTATTTTAGTCGAAGCTGTTAGAAGAACTATTTATAAACTCTTAATATACAAGTAATTTCAATTTCACTATTTTTAATTTTTAAAGATAAGAAAAAAAAACCCCTCTTTAATTTAAAATTTGTAAACAACCGAAAAACAGTGAAACAAGCTAACGCAGTATGCTAAAATTAGTGGCCGGATCATTTGCATGTATCTTTCCTGCAGAAACTACAAGTCCTGTTCAGGAAAAAAACTCATAGTTGCGGTAAAACCATAAAATCCATCTAGCAGACACATGCAAGCACTGTTTGAGATCTTGCACAGCCTCGAATGAAAAAAATACCACTAGTACTTCTCACATAAATGCAATTTTCAATTCCCCAGCTCAGTTTGATTCAAAATAATGGGCAAGTCCACTTTAGGAATAATTTAGTTGCCGCTGCGCTAAACTGCCTCTCCTGTACTCCAATGCTCCAACTCCACGCAATTGTTTTGAATTAATGTATTTTGAGTTAAAATTGAATAATGTTAACCCGTATAGATTTACCTAAATATAGGAAATTAAATCCAACTTTTTCCGGCCATCATTACTTAGATGCTCTAATTACTTGAATTAAAATATAGATTGTAACACCTCCAATGAGAATAAAATCTAGATTTCCATCACTCATCTTTAGATCTATTTGAGATAGACATTTGTTGTTTTACCTTGGAAAATATTGCAATTTTTTATTATCATCTTATGAATCTTTTTAATTTAATATACTCTGCTGTGAATGGATAAAGTGCAACACTATGCTGGAAGCAAAATCGCATAGAAATTTATTTAGATCTTGAAATTGTTTGTTCATTACAATTCATATTACCACCTTTTATAATTCTTTAGATTTTTTTTTCTTTATGAAATTTAAGCAACACTGCAAGCTTTTCTATATGCAAAAGAAAAAAATGTACGGGCTGTTTGATTTCTTGAGAAATCATATGATATTTGTTATGTTATTAATAGATGCTATCTATTCAAGTTGCTAACTTCTTTACTACGAAGCAAAAACTTCTATATGACATAGATATGATATGAGGTAAATATGGAGATATAATATAATGATGAGGGAGCTTACTGCCGACGTAACTAAAGCTGCAACAACAATGCAAACGTGGTTGCTGTAGCTGCTACAGTAACAGTGGCTCCCCTTTCCGATTTAATACCATTTAATCCCTTTCCGATAAAAGTAAATAAAATGTGTAGCAGTTTATAACTTTATTGACCTAGGAATAATGTGTGAATGCTTCTTGCGTGTCAACATATGTCCTGGCCATGTCGTTTCTGATAGAGGTATGTAATATCCAACGAAAACACGGAAGGCCTTTTTAACTCTCCTTTATTTATAGTACCTTAAAGTAACATATATTTAAATTAAATTTCACTTCTAATTAAGTGGCCTCTTGATGTTTGACTATTTTAATAACATTTGATAGGCATCTTGAAGATATGTATATAGCACCGACAACTTTGTGACACTGCAAGTAAACATTTCCTTGACTTTTTGATTCAGAAGTTTATTTATAACCCTTTTTCCTTCTTTTCAGAATGTGGCTGCAGATGCCCTATCAGAGTTTTATTACCCCCCAGTAGCAGCGGTTTCTATTTCTTATCCAGAAGAGGCAATTCGGAGAGAATGCTTAATAGATGGTGTACTGAAGGGGTTTGGGCAATTGCATCCTCGCAGTCAAGGAGTTGAAACTTTAGGTATTTAGTCGTTGAATAATTCTTCTTTTTTAACAGTGTTTATTTCTAATACATATTAAGAAATTTGCCCTTGATACATATTCAGTATTGGATCAGAATATAGTTACGGTTATATTTTAATGTTCTCACAAGATGGTGCATGGTGCATGAATTCGTTTTTTGAAGAGAAGGTTGTTGATTAATTATTTTTTCACTCCCCAGGAACCATTTATAGCTCCTCACTCTTGCCAGATCGTGCGCCTCCAGGAAGAGTGCTCCTTCTTAGCTATATTGGTGGATCTACCAATACAGATATTTTGTCCAAGGTATCTCATCCATTAGAACCCGGGATATCTTTTTTTTTTTTTTTTTGAGTTTGTACTTGGATTTCTTTGCTTAGAATGAGAATGCCTAACAGGCTGTTTTGTATTACCTATATTTGTCAAGTTTTTATTATTAATGGGATTTGCATTAATCTTATAAGCATAGCTTCTTAAATGGAGAATAGGGACAAAAACTCTTTTTCTCTCACATTCATTTCTGATGCACCTAAGGTAATTTTATCTCATGTCGATAGCCTGAAATATTGTTCCCTTTAGGGAACCAATAGTATGGTTAATGCTGTCTTCTCTTACACAGACACTTTTTCTCCTACACAAACCCAATAGTATGGTTAATGCTGTCATCCAGGAATATTGTCAGTGTGAGACCTAGATTATAATCTATGAAAAATTTTCATAAATTGTTGCTCTTATATGCAGAGTGAGAGTAATCTTGTGGAAACTGTGGATCGTGATCTTCGCAAGATGCTTATAAATCCGACTGCTGAAGTGCCTTTAGTCCTTGGTGTACGGATGTGGCCTCGAGCCATACCTCAGTTCTTGATTGGGCATCTTGACCATTTAGAAGCTGCGAGAGGTGCCCTGAGCAAAGGTGGATTTGAAGGTTTATTTCTTGGTGGCAATTATGTTACAGGTGTGGCCTTGGGCCGTTGTGTGGAAGGTGCTTATGAGACTGCTGAAGTTGTTTCAAATTTTTTATCCAAGTATGCATACAGCTGAGAGTATTAATAGCTGGATTTTTAATTAACAGTTGCTCCTAGCGTGAAAAATATCTGTTATATATATTCTTGTCGTCCCTTTTCACGGGCAGAATGTCTTGAGTTACCTATATTCTTATGTTTTTTCATATGCTATAAAATATGGAGCTAAGCTGAGTGCTGTAATTGTCACCTCATTTTGGTCTTGCAATCTTGTTTTTCAGGCTTGTTTTTCATAAAGCAATATGTAACTGGTTGACATAGTTACAGGTTTGCTAATGCCAAACTTTGATGAGCCTTTAAGGATAAAGTATGTTTGATTTGCTATATAATGTTAAAATTGTAGGTTTGAGACATCTTTAAATAATAAATTTATAGATGTAATAATAATAAGGTATACTCTGATGATGATATTTGCTTTCTGATATACTTGGTGAGGTTTAGTTGTAGTTAGTTAATATAGGAAAACTTTTAATTACTGTTGATCGTTTTGTTTGTTATATGATTATATAAGATAAAAGTAAATAAAATGTGTAGCAGTTTATAACACTATTATTTGGTAATATTGAATAAAAACTCCTTATTTTCTTTAGGACTTATTTCACCAACAGGATTTCATTTTTACTGCATAAATTGCTTTCCATTATAACTTGGTGAAAATTATTTGCTTTTGTTACACATTTTGAGTTTTAATTTCTTTCGCACATACAAATTCTGTTATGAGAGGTCTTCGCTTTGATATGCCAAAATTCTCAATGTCTTGGTATATATAATTTTTAAAATGAGTATAAGCTGTCCGTATTGGAGTTGTTTGAGCAGGTACTTACCACATTTGTTTTGAAGAGCAGAAAATTATTGCTGCATCGATTGAAGGCAAATACTCTTACACAGTAGGCCCGAGAGCACCATGCCATTGAGCACGACAATCTGCTCTAGGGTGTTTGGTGAGCTGATCTTCAGAAGATTATACTTAACAAATGTCGCAATAGAGAGAATATTTTGAAGACAACCAATTCTGACTTTGATTTCTCGTCATGGCGAGTCTTTAGGTGAAAATGTTCTGAATTTGAAATGGATGAAGAGTTAGAGGCCTGGGTGCACGATGAATCAAGGTTGCCTAATCCAAAAATATCCATTAGAAAATGTTATGAATTAGAAATGGATGAAGAATTAGAGGTGTGGTGCACTATGAATCAAGGTTACCTGTTCCAAAAATATCCACAAGACTTCAAACTCTGGTTTGATGTATCACATTTTAATGGAGATATGCATATTGAGGATTGTTTGGACTAGTTAAAATTTATAGAAAATTTTTTTAGTGTATGGAGGGCATGACTGATGCTTGGTTGAAAAAAATACAAAAGCTCATCATCGAAAAGACAAGCGACCAATTTAATCATGTCTAAGTATGCACAAAACAATTAGGAATTGATTTCTTCTCTTTAGAATCTATACAATCAATATCGACAATGCCTTTAGTGCTGGCATTTGATCATCATTTGATCATCAAATATGTAGAAGGATTTTATTGATTGAATGCATGAGTCGAAGAACTTTTAATGTCACAATACCTCGATGGGTTAAAGGAATCATTTCGTGAGTCATGTCCCTCAATCTATTTGACAATTATTTGAGGCCATTATTTTAGCATAGAAGGCTGTGATTAGTTAATTCTAGCGTTCTAATCAATATCCCTTCATTTGAAAGGCTCTAGCTTAAACATCCCAATCCAGCCCAACTCCCTTCCAACCAACCCACTTCAAATTCACGGTATCTAGGTTCTTCCAATTTAGGACACGCCCATAACGCCTCCAAAGGGGAAGGACACAAATCCTTATGCCCGATTGTTCGTCATTCATTGATATTGATGCAATCAAGCTAGCTACAAATCTAGTGAACGTCCCTAGCGAAAATACTTACTCATCAAGGGAGGAGGTGAATATGCTGAGCAGATTGTTTAAAGTGATGTCAGCACTAAAAAGTTGAAGAGTTAGTAAGTTGTCGGTTGCTAGGATGGATATCATAACACCCTTTTTAATTTAATTTAATACATATATAATTTGGAAAAAAAATAGTATTTTGGATTTTGAAAATAAACCGATCTCATATTCCCAGTAGTTTAAATAAACGAGCCTAATTTCCATAAGCAATGGATCTACACCGAAGGATAAATACACTACTTTCTGGTAAGACTCGATTAAATAAACTAAAGATTCTATGACATCCGTTTAAGTCTGCGAAACCATTTTATGCCTAAGCCTTTTTAGGCCTACCTCTGTCTTGCTTAACATAAATCAAATCTAAAACATCTACTCTCCTTACTGAATCATCAGATAGTCGACGTTTAATGTGATGAAACCATCTAAAACGACTCTAATCACAATGCCAAGAGTTGAGTTCTGCACTGACCCAAAACAAATCCATTTGGTTTTACACTCTTTAGCCAATGCTTTTCAATTGAAGGTCGAAGGTGAACTTCCACATGAGGCTGGGTAACTTTTGAAAACTTTTCAAACTTCCAGCACTCTAGTGTATCCAGTGAGCTGCCTTTTAGAACTTATCCACAACAAATTGATTTTTTTTTCCAGGGTTGAGTGTACCCAACCTCCCTTATTATCATGAGTTCAAAAGAATAGGATGCCTCGCACAAGGTAATCAATGATCTCCTAGCCAAGCAATTAATTCGGTTAAGCCAAATTCCATGTATTATATCCGCACTATTAGTTCCCAAAAGGGATGAAAGCTGGTGTACATGTGTAGATCGTTCAACCATTAACAAAATTATAATTAACTTTGGGATACCACGATTAGAATAATTGCTTGATAAATTGGGTGTTTCTGGCATTTTCTCCAAGCTTGATTTTCATTTGATTTGAGGATGAATGGGATTCAACTTTAAAGGCTGGAGATGATCTTTGTGGGTGGCTAGTGATGCCATTCAGGCTTTGTAATACTTCAAGTACCTTCATACGACTCGTTTTTTAGTATTTAAACCTTTTATTTGGCAATGCATTTTCATTTATTTTGATTACATATTAGTCTATAGCAAGATGAAGGAAGAACACCTCACACACCTTTATCAGGTTTTGGCGATTATGAATGAAGATAGTGGGTTCTTAATCTACAAAGAACGCTTATTTATGGTTTTTCTTGGCTATAGAGCAACAAAATTTAGGTTGGCGATGAGAAGATTTTTTGCTTTATGGAAAGATGACTCCAACCATTTCTGTGGTATGAAGTTTTTTTTGGCCTTGCTAATTTTTATTGCTGATTCATTCATAATTTTAGTACACTTGCTATTCAAATCACAAATTGTCTTTAAGAAAAGTAGATTGCGTTAAGATCCTAAATGAGTAGCTAATTTTAATAAGTTGAAAAAAAAGCTTAGTTTCACCCCTACTTGGGCACTCCTGAGATTTTAAGCATATTTTTGAAGTAAAGGTGGATACTTGTGTTGCTGGATTCATGCAATCTTTATTAAAGAGGGCTAACTACTTGAATTTTTTTAGTGAGAAGCTTTGCAAGGCACATCAAAATGGAAAAAGGATAAGCAAGAACTTTATGCAATCACCAATGCACCTCAATATCGGGAATCATCCAACAAGTGTTTGTTCAACACAATGAAAACTAATCAAAATGCATCAATTTGCAAAATAATAATAATAATAAATAAAATGAAATAAATCAGGGATGCATTTCCGATGATCCTTTTCCTAAAAAAATTATGTTTGTATTTAAATATCTATTCGGACAACTCAACAAAGCTGTTGACACTCTACGTTGCCAAACTGCTTTTCTTACTACCTTACGTACTAAATTTATGAATTTTGATGTTATCAGAGGCTAATATGAAAATGATTAAGATTTTGGTATAATTTGGGAACAATGTTGCTAGCATTCAACCTCTGATGATTACAATATACTTCATGGTTTTTATTTAAAGGAATTTAGTTTTGTCTCTTGTGTACTTCTCTATGTGTATCATCATCACTGCATATCAATTGCGATAAGATAATCACTATTGCTGTGGAGCATTTCGATTGTTCGTGAATGAAATAAAGTGTTGCTAAATTTGTGCAACATTTTAAAGAGTGCCTATGTGTTGATGGACACTCATATAATATCGGCCTCTACACTTGATAGCTTGTTTTAGACATCATATTGGAAGATGTCAACTTGAATTTTGTCTTGGGTGTGCTAGTGACACACTGCAATGATTTAATTTTTTTGTTGTTGATTGGTTTTCAAAATTGACACATTGTATTCTGTATAGGAATATTTTTAATGTGGTTAAAATTGCCAACTTATTCTCCTAAGAAATTATTTGCTACATGATGTGCCTAAGATTATTATTTCAAATTCCGATATTAAATTCTCAAGTAAATTCATGTGCTTCTATGGAAAATATTCAACACAAATTTGACATTCAACAATTTTTCTGATCCCCAAAATAGGTGGGCAGGCTGAAGTTGTAAACTGAACTCGTTGCTTTATGATTCGCAGCATGGCAGGGGACCAATCTAAATCATGGGATCAAGCCATTGCAAAATTTGAGTTTGCCTTTAACAATATGGTTAAGCAGTTCACCGAATGTTTGCCCTTTTTTATTATATGTATTAAAGTATCAAAATAAGTTTTTGATATTAGAGAGCCACATACAGTAGTCACACGAATGCTGAGGTGTTAGCATATTATATTGCTTAGTTGGATCGTGGTGTGTCAACTAGAAACTGCTGATAAAAAAATATAATCGACCCCAAAAATTTTGAAAGCATATTTATGATTCACCTTATTAAGCATCTTCTTGGCACATCACTAAATTATAGGCTAAAAATATGGCTCTTTTTGATGTAGAAGAAAATAAGCGATAATGCTTATAGGTTTATTTTATTATTGAAAAATTTGAAGAGCTTTCAACGTAAAGAATTTTTGTTGACTAAAACTTGACTAATGTTGTTAATGTCTTGAGTTAAACAGAGTGGAGTTGAGTTGGATGCAGTAAAATTCATATAGCTCATATCCCAAGTCTGACTCATCTTAGGATTGTTTAACTCACCTTGTTTTCTTTTCCTTTTTTTTTTCTTCTATATACTATGGTTTAGTATCTGGCTTTACCATATTAGTGCCCTATAACTATTGTTTGCTATTTACATTTCTTCTCAAATCTGGCCTTCTCAGTTGCCTTTGTTGCAGGTGATAATTATTATTTTACCTTGATATCTCTTATTATATGTTGTTTTCTTATTGTTCTATTGAGGGAGAACCCTTGTCCTTCAATCCGGCTATTTTCTTTTTACTCTACACTAGATTGACCAAAATTGGGTTCCATATATGCAGGCATGAAGAGTATTTGATTTTACAGAAATTTTGCACATCTTTAACAGAGTTTGCTTGGGTCTAAATAAAATATTTGTCTGGTATCAATCAAATATTGTTTGAATTTTGATAGAATTTTTGGTATAATCCTTTGAAAAGTCCGATAAAAGTTCATCATAAATTTTCACAGAGTTCTTCACGAAGATTTTGCAGAGTTCTAATAGAAGTTTCAATAGAGTTTTCACAGAGTTTGTGGAATTTTCACAAAATTTCAAAAAGCCTGTTTCTTTTTTTTATGATAATTTCTAGAAGGTCTCTTAAGTGTTGATAGAACTTTTGATAGATGAATCTATCCTAGAGAATCCAATTAGCCAAAATTATTTGAAGTTGAGAAATTTCTCGAGTCCTTTAACTTTCCTCTTTAAATTTTGAAATCCATCTTATTATTGAATTGTCATGTTGGCCTATTTATAGATTTAACAAAGGTTAATTTAAAAATGTGTAAAATTATAATTAATGTTTATTTAAGTCAAATTTAATGGCACCCAAACATTTGAATTTGTGTGGAACTTGATTGGGCGCCTCTAAATCGATCTTTATTACTTGACTATGTTGATTCTGGCTAGCTGGCCCATCCATTGATGATTTTAGATATTCACATTGCAATTTCCATCTTCAAATTAGTTATTGATAAATATGAATACCTTTTTAATGACATTATAATCTCAAATGACTCGTGTGTGTGTTTGGGCGTATTTGAATTCACTAGAGTTCATTTTTTTTACTCTTTTTGTAATTTGGACTATTGTTGGAGTGTATAACCTGGCATGTGGAGGATTGGGCCAAAGCTAAGCTATTTTTTTTTATTTGCACCTTTTTTTCATTTTCAGCAATTATTTTTTAGCAAAAAATATATTGCATATGCTTCAAAATGAGTGTGAGATCGGGTCTCAAAATGCTCAAAATACTTCCTCAAATTTACTCTTATGGTTTTTTTTGGTTTTTTTTTTTTTTTTGAAATATCTCAAAATATTAAGAGCATTGTTTATTCTCTTGACTGGCTCAAGCACACGTGCGCGGTACAGTTAAGCTGTTCACGCTTTAAAGTGAGTTTGTATGCTTTTCGGAGTGATATAATTTGATCTTTATTTCTCTTATTAAAGAGCACTAAGGTTCGTGTGTCAAATGAGGGATCTAGCGGGGGAGAGCCTAGGCTTGGGAAATAAATAGGTTTGTTTTATGTCAAGCATAAAAACTATTTGTGCTGTCATTTCTCTTATTTGTTCTATTTGTGTTTGAGGTTGTAATTGCTTGTGATAATTTGCTCGCACTCAGTAGGTGCACTTTGTATTTCACCCAGTGATTCAACTGAGCCTGGATAATATGGGTGTGCATTGCCTCCTTAGTAAGGCAATCTCCACTTTATTCTTTTTGACTTAACTGATATCACTTCCTAGTTTGAGAACACAAACTATGAAATATTTTTGTCACACAAAAATTGCACTAATGATGAAGCAAATATTGTTCGTAGTTTATAAAATACATTGCACTCCTAAATAGTCAACAAAAGAATGTCTGAACTGATCCAAACGTTTAAAAGTTAATATATCACAACACCACCTTAAGGGAAACAATAATAACCATATAATACGCTGTTTTCCATATTTCACGCCTATAGAGGCAAGTTCGTAAAACTCTACAGCATATATGACACAACAGACATGAAAACCATAAAAACTAATTTCCCCTCTGATCTATTTAACTGCTGCCATCTTTGATTTCTGATGACACCGTCTTGGGTCCTGCTGACTTTCCAAGGATTGCTTTCTTTGCTTTCACAATTGAGCGCTTTGCCTTGGAGAAGAAGTTGCCCGACTCAGATTTAGTTGACTTTTTAATCAGCTTTGTATCAGCAGTATCGGATGGTAAAATCGGATCTACATCTTTTGATTTCTGGCTGTCTTCCTTTTCTGCTCCCAACTCTTTCTTCTCTGATTTATCTATTGCAATTTGTATGGTTTCTTCTAATTGCAGTTCCTTTTTATCATCTGGAATTTGAACATTCTTTTCCACCATGCTATGATCTTTGGACTCATTCTTTTTCTCCTCAACCATTTCTGATGGTCCGATATCTTTCACAGCCTCGGCAGTGATTTTGGAACTCTCATTCTTATTTTCCTCGATCACCTGTTCAGGCGACTCTTCAACAGTGGTGAAATCTTTAGGCGCCTTCACTGAAGCTGCATATACATCTTTGAAGCTTTCACTCTTTTTCTCATCGCTAGCAGAAACTTCCTTGTCCTTGAAAGGAACCTCACTTGCTTCAGGAACAATATTGCCATCCTTGACCGTTGCTTCAATGCCTTCCTTTTCAATGTTAGAGCTCACATTCTTTTCTTTCTTCACCATTTCAATAGTTTCAGGAGCTCTTACTTCATCACAAGAGAATTCAGCTGCACCGATGTCTGTGGAATTCTGGGCTACTTCAGTTTTAGCTTCACGTGTTTCAACTAGATTCTCAGTTATCTCCTCCGAACTTTCCTCCTCTTTCTGAACAGCTTCTGCATCTCTTGAACCCTTTTCTTCATGTGATGAGGACTTGACTACTTCACGTCCATTATTAATTGTAGCTCCATATGAAATTGGCTCTTGAGTTTCTGTTATTTTCTCTTGTTTCTGTTCTTCAGGAAAGGCAGATTGAACTTCTAGACCCCTCAGAGGAACCTCAATGCTGGTCGGAGCATCAAGATCATCATTTTGTGTTGCTTTAGAAACATCAGGAACTACAGCATCTGAACTTTCTTTTTTCTGTTCTTCAGGTATGCCAGTCTCAACTTCTAGATCTTTCACATCTACTTCAATTTTTGGATAAATGGAATCAGCATCAATATTTTCCGGCGTCTCAACTTCCTTTATCTTTCCACTCTTTTCAAGCTCTTCAACTATAGAAACATCCTCAGATACAGGCTTTTCTTCTGAGATAATTGCACTCTGTGTCTCAGTATTCCTATCATCAACCTCATTTTTCTCTTCCAATTTCTGTTTCGAAGTTTTCAGCATGGGTGGTATCAATTAAAAAACTTTCTAAAAAGCAAAGCTAGAGAGAGAGAGAGAGCGAGAGAGAGAGAGAGCGAGAGAGATACTGTAGATGAAAATATATGTTGGGTGTTGTGCCAGTTTATTATGAGGGCTAAAGAACTACAAAATTGTTGCGTTGTGTAGAGTTTGTTCCAGTGATTGTAGTTCTAGCAAGTTATTCTGTTGCTGATGATTCCCAGAAACAGAGAACAAGAAAAAGAGCAAAAGGGAAAGGAAGACTAGTGCTTTAGATTGCAATACATACCTCATCAACTATTTCATCTGTCTTCGAACTCACAGAGGCCATAGATTTTAGCTTAAGCCAACAAAGGTTAGATAGAGATGAAACCGAGAGAGAGAGAGAGAAAGACTTGAAAGACTTGTAGTCACTTGTCATTGTCAGGCTGTAGGCCACAAGCTCAAGAAGGTTACATTCATAGCCATGAACTGTGTGGGTTATCATGCATGTGGGCCAACTATTTGATTCCATATAATTGAAGATTTTTCCATTCAGCAAAATTAAAAATAGATATATTCTTGGACTACAAGACTTGCCAGAGTAATATAATAACCCTAAACTGGTTTTATCTCCGTTAAAGCACTTCGTAATTATGTCAAGGAAAAAAAAATTGGATCAGAATATTTTAAGTATTGTTTAAAATGAATTTAAATTTATTGATTTTATTTTGAGATAGGTATGATGTGTAAATGTATAATAATATTTTCAATAATTTTATGGTTTCTTTTTATAAATATTTGATTAAGTGTCATGAACCTTCATTTTTTTTACCCCAATTGTCAATCGCCATGCAAGTAGAGGAGCTGCAGCAAATGGAAGAGAAGAGAAAAGAAAAAGGGAAAAGAAAACGTTTATTCTCTCTGCCCGATTCTTTCTGCTTTATCTGTCCATTTTCCGTAAAACTTGTATTAATTTAGGTTGCTTGTGATTTGCATTTTTACCATGTTTTTCAGCAAAGTAAATTACCGCAGAATATTATGTATGTTTCATAGGGGAAAGCTGCATCGTTTTTCTCATTAAGTATAGTTTTTCCATTAAAAATAAAGGTAGCATTTGCAAACATACCCCGCATTTCACATGTATTAGGTATCTAACACTTAATTTTACTTTCAACATTTATAATGCCCAAATCTTTTATATCATATAAAAGAATATTGTGAAATATGTCTTTTTCATGCATAGATAAGGTGACATGCATGTAAAAATTAAGATTTAGGTGTCAGATATGTAAATATATAATAATTGAGTGGTTCGTATGTAAATCTTCTAATAAAAACTAAAACTTGAAGCAGCCCAAAGTAAAAAAAGACTTCAACCTTAATAAAAATCCATTTTATCATAATAATTCTATAATAATTTTTATAAAAAAATGCGTCTGCCTAAAGCAGCCCGAAGTTTTGTCGATTATTAAGTGTGAATGTGGTGCGAAATCGCCAATCTATTTATAAGCTATTTTTTTAATTAATAGCTTTGTTCTCATTTGCCCTTTTTTTGATCAATAACTTTTAAGTCTTACATTATATTTGAAAGTTTTGCTTGCTAAAATATATGAACAGATAAATGAATTTTACAATTTTTTTTTTTAAATTTTTTATATATGTATGATCAAAAGTTCCTAAGTTGGAGTTAAGAGGCGTACAGTTAGTCGGCCTATTGAGCTGATGAGACAAATTAGGCAGATCACTCTAGTGAAGTAATTTGACCAGGAACTAAAAGTTCACTCCCAGGGGGACACCAACACCTAACAATTCAATCCGACCCCTCCATCCACTTGTGTCCTGGTCTGCCATGTGATTATCACCCATGAGCTCACTGAACATGAAGTCGATTGTATGCATAAATCTAACTCGTTCGAATTCTCAATGCTTATTTTTATCCAATAAATATATCTCATACTTTCTAACTTGGAGTTTTATCTATAAAGAACAAATAAATAGCTTGTTTCTCTAAATCTGGCCCGAGCCAAATTCAAAATCAAAGCCACTTCAACAGGTATTGGATCCGCCGTCATTAAGATTTCTATAGGAATCGAAAGAATGATGGTTGGGGCCTCACAAGAAACAACCTCTCAGGGATTTGCTATTGTTTCCTTTAGAAACTATTATTTTTTCTTTTTTTCAAATCCCCTTTCTCTCGTACATTTTATAAACAACTCTTCTAAAAGTTCAGCCTTGACTTCTTTCACTCCAACTTCAATCTCCTCCTAATTAGTGTTCACCACTACTTCCTAAACCTATCACTTCATCATCACATAATACACAACCAAAAACATATATTCTAGACAAGTACCAATTAAACGCCTTCACACCCCTACAATCCTCCATCACCCATATCATCTTTCCTATCGTCGTCTCCGCCGCCAACTATTGCCCAACCTCCTCCTAAACATCATATGACTCAGTGTTGTAGTAGGGAAATGTTCTTAATCACATATGCAATCGCTTATTTAAACTAAGTGTTGTAGTAGGGAAATGTAATGATATAAGAATCATTTCCTACATAATGTATTCAACTTTTACATTAACATTTTCTATCTTCTATCTCCTCTTTTTATAATTTATCACAAAGCTTCTCAAGGTGATCGGAATGGCCTCAGAACCAAATAGGCTTGCATGAGTGTTACTAAAGGTGAAATGTCAAAAGAGCAACATTTATGAGGGGCGATTATTTAGTTGAGACATTATGAAAAATAATTATTATAACATGTTTGCTAGAAGAAAACAAAGAGGATATTTCTTCAGATTAGTGTGTAAATAAGACTATCTTGTAAGGTGTATGCAAATCTTCTATAAATAGAAGCAATCAATATAGAAAAGATGGGAAATTCTTAAATATTAAAAGTTACTCATATTCTTGGGATTTCTTTCTCTATTCTCCGAGCTCTAACCCTCCTATTATTTTATTTTTTGTATGCGAATCCATGGACAAATCAGGATCACATAATCTATATATATACACACATAGCTCAATTCAATTACAACCTTCATCTAACACGAGGCATCACATTAGACCACCACAAGGAAAGCCAATGAGGATATTTCACAAGTTTCATGGAAAATAACTAAAGAATAGTAAGATTATTGGACTCACTCGAACAGCGGAAGGCATATTAGATTCACTCGACTAATTAGTCTTATCCAAGCTCCTCTTCTAACTCCCATCGCACCCCGCATTGATCCATCACCTAAAGTTGTATACCAAATATGAGATAAATTTTGAAACTTGGTGAATTAGCTAAATATGCTGATCAATACTTTAATCAAGTTGTGGACAACATACAGAACATGTTGAAGTCAAAAGAGCCCAAGCGAATTGTATAATAATACAATCGCATCACCTTTGATACATTTAGTAATCCTTGAAAGAATTTAATGGGCTGAGTAAAGCCATTCATGTTTCTTTCTTTATTTATTTCATATTGATTCATTCATTATTTTCTCCAGTAATGGGTGAGTCCATCCCTGGATTAATTCATTCATTGTAAGTTCTTGTCAATCCTTCTCATTTTACAAACATTTATCTAAGATTCACATATTCAAGAAAAACATGACGATAACTTTGCAAAGTAATTTCATACTATGACCATTAATTTACAAGGGAAGGGAAACTTTGAATCATCATATATACATTGTGTTGATTATGAATCAGAATTTATACTCTCAAGCAATAATGCAGATGCTTTAGGCTCTATTTTACTACTGAGAATATTGCATAAAAAGAAATCAACAGTAAAATAGAGCCTAAAGCATCAACATTATCCCTCAACAGGCTAGCCAAGAAAATGTATGAATCTCTTTGATACCAGAGATATTACATTAAACTTCAATTTTCAACAAGTTGTGCGGTATCCAAGAGAGAAAATTTATAGCACTCATCAAATCCTCATAGCCTTTATTCCTATATATCCACTCTTATATTCTTTCGTAACTGATCAGTGAAGCAACGCACAGCTATCAGCATTAAAGAAGAACAAAATAACAAATTTATGCATTCAAAGCATGCAAGTCCTAACAAAAAATCAGAGATTTTTTATTGAAAATATAAATCTCTTATATAGCTAGAGTTTCCTTTCAGTGGTAAAAAAAATGAAAGCTAGAGATTTACACTTAAGAAGAAAGAGAACGACAAAACAAAGAGCATACAATGTTCCAAACAACTAAGAATTACATGTGAACAAGTTAGCAAGAAAGGGAACAACAGTAGAGGTATGGCTGATTAAAATAGGAATGTTCCTTCCCTGTTACTACTGTGGAGTTGACTCTCGAGATCCCTGTCCCAACTTTGAAAGCCTTATTTCTCCAGTACCAGGGCTGAATGATGCTCTCCTACCAAGCCGAGGACTTTGCTCCTGCTTCAGTTCGCTAAGCCGAGGACTTAATCCTTTCTCAGAGAGTCTGGGGCTGTTAAAGCCTTTGAGATCTCTGGTTAGTGTAGCCGTTGAGCTAGTAATTTTGGGACTATTCATGTGCTTAACCTCACCACGGCTTCTGGTGATTATCTCATCAAGAATCTCCCCACTATGAGAAAAAGATGGTCTCGTGCAACCTTCAATCTCCTGTTAGGTGAATGGATGTAATAAGAATTCAAATTCTTCAATCTTCGGAAGCATTTCATTGTACAGAATGATTAAAACAAAAAAAAAAAAAATGTTACCATTGCTTGGTTGAGTGGGAGAGCTGGGGATTCCTCATATTCTGCTGCATCTAAATCTGTGAGGTGGGCACCTTTAAAGAGCTTGGGAAGAAGATACTGCCTTGCGGGTACTAAAAGCATGATCATAAGGGGAAAAAGGACTCCTGCAATAGGAATCCAAGTGATCCCAAAGCATATCAGCAGATAAGCAGTTTGGAAGAGCGAGCTGTAATGGTCTTGAATGGCACGGTCTCCACAAAGGTTGCATGGTAATCTTCAAGCACTCTAAATGCCACTATAGTTGATCAGTAATGACATAGAAGAACTTGAAAAAAATGAAGAAATGTAAGAGAGTTTTAAGTACTTGTATCTTCTACTTGGTGCTGTAAAGAGCAGGAGGATCCTCTCCCAAAACTGGTTACCAGGTAAGCTCTCTATGGCCATGAAAGCAAAGTAGCCCCACAACACAGAAGTTGGAATCTTTTTAAGGATTGGCATGGCTGCAACACAGCATCCTACCATGGCCGACTGCAGCAAGTTGCTAAGACGTTGCTCTTTGACCTCAACAGGCAGTAGATCATCAATCTCCTTTTCAACATCAAAAACCAACTCGTCCACAGGGGCATCAATGCTTCCCAAGCTTGAAGCCAATTGGATGGTAGATTCCTTCAGCTCATTCAATCCCTAAATGCAAAATTTTCTATTGTGAAAACTGAT